AATCCATCTTAAAATATTGAACTCTACTGTATGAACATAAATACATCATAGCTGATTGTGCTGTTTATCTTGCTTAACTCTCAAATAATGTAGGATCTGGGCACAGATTCAGCATCTCATTAAGCTGAATGCTTAAACATCTCAAAAAGAGCTCATCATCTTCTCAGGCAGGCTGTTTCTATCTCAAACAATGTTTGCTATTAGGAATGAGCTAAACATTTAACTAATATCTCGTTTCAATTAATGATCACTTTTGTTTTTTGGTGAAATGGAGAACAGGATTATTCCACTTTCTACATAATAATTTTTACAGATCTTTGAAGATTGCAATAATTTCTTCTCTTGATTCCTCCTTCCCAAAATAAAGTTGTGTAGCTCATTCATGGGCATTCCATTACATGAGGTTTTTAAGAAGAGACTATACCGTTACTTGTTTGAAATGGTATATATTCTCCTGCTTGAGCAGGGGGCTGGACTAGAAAACCTCCAAAGCCCCTTCCAGCTCCATACTATTCTGTTCTATATTCTACTCTATCCACTCATCTCTATTTTTCCAATTTAGGCATTGCCAGATTCTCAAAGGACTCTGGGCAACTCACAAACAGAACAAAACAGAACAAAAAAAATAACCAAATAGAAAATGAATAAATAAGTTGGAAATACAAACACTCAACTAAAAAAAAAAGTTGCAAAACAAATCCTAAACAAGCTCCATCAATGACTTAATTTCTAGGTACTTACTCATAACAACATACACACAAATGCCCACATATACACACAGCCATGATGTGGTTTCTTTGGTTTTAAATCTAGAATATCACATTATGTAGGAACTAGATTGTTACAGTTCAGTCAACAAATCATGATTAGCTTAGCTGGTCTATAAAACCATCAAATAAGTTGCATACTGACTTAAGTTTGCTATTAATGGATCAGGGAAAACAATATCACACTAATTTTCCATTGATTTCCATAGATCTTGGATCCAATCAACTGTCATTTGAACCTAATGCAGGAATGTTTATATTTATTTATTTATTTATTTAGTGGCAGCAGCCCTCCAGCAGGGATGGGGCCCGACCGATATAACAACCGGTTCTGTTGCTGTGTTGTGCGTGCATGCGCGCACAAGCGCGAGTTCAATTTACAACCTGCTGAGCTGCCCGGACAGTTGAGCAGTGCAAGTGCACAGTGGTTGGAAAAGCCCTTTTTTCCTGCCTTTTCAACCACAGCTATGTCACACAAAGCAGCTGCAGTTGAAAACACAGGAAATAAAGGTCAGGTAAGAGCCCAGGCAGGCGGGTGGGCCAGAACAGCAGCAGACATAGAACTGGTTCTATGTATGCTCTCTGATTGCTGCTCTTCAGAGCAATCAGTTCTACAGAAGTGGACAGAACCGGTAGAATCCCACCCTTGCCCTCCAGCCTTCTCTAAAGATATCAATAATTGAATGTGGAAGCCTGTGTGATTATAGTAATCAAGCATTCACACCACCATAGAATATATGTGGATGGTGGCTTGATTTTCCTTGTTTATGGAGCATCTGTACCTACATCAAATTGCAGATCCAATATGAAATAGTCAGCATTGACTATGTATTAATATTGAAGAGTTTAGAGTCAAAAAGGATTGCATTGTGGAGCCCACACATTAGAATTCAAACAAACTTTTTGAAGATTAATCTTAACAGTCTTGAGGACAACTGTGAGGCAAGGAGAGGATTTTAACACTCTCGTTTTGTGGGTTTGCTAGGTTTTAAACAAGTATCATTTTTTAAAAAAGTACCGTATTTGCCGGCGTATAAGACGACTGGGCGTATAAGACGACCCCCCAACATTTCCACTCAAAATATAGAGTTTGTTATATACTTGCCGTATAAGACGACCCCCCCACTTGGAGGCGGTGCCAGCGGAGTCCGGCCTCTTAGGAAGTACTTTTGTTGCATGCCCAGATATGGTGCTGCCTGCGTTGGTGGGGAACTTCATATCGGGAGACCTTCCACCGTTGCTTTCCCTTCTCCCTTGCTGCCGCCCGTCTTCCCTTTGCTTTCAAAGGTAAAGCGAATTATTTTACAAAGCCTCCCCTGCCCGAGAGGGCAGCCCAACCCAACGTGGGGAAGCTAATTTCCCGGTGCCTCTTCCATTCCTCCCCGACCTCCCTACACTGCGCGCCTCTGACGCGCCGGTCCC